ATGGTAGTTCAAGATGATTTGATATCTTTTGATGTTATATAGTTTCTTTTGTCGTTATTGTGTCTACCCTTTCCTTTATGGTATGGGGCTTGTTGAACACCATCATTAGCATGTTGTGTAATTTATTTTATTTATGGGCTTGATTTATTTCTTCTTGGATCTTTATGTATTGGTCGATGATATGCCCAATTCCCTACATGTTACATATACGTCTTTTACATGTGAAACATTAGAACCTTTCTTTTTCACGTTACATAAAAGTATTTTACATGTGAAACATTAGCACCTTTATTTTTCCAAGAATATAGATTAGTAAATCAAACTTATTATGAAGTGTTAATTCTAAATTTTACTATGTTCCAGGCTTACTCTCATCTTATTGATGCGACTGTGGGAAGTAGGTTACCCCTTTCTTAGTTGAGCAATTGGTTTCAAGATATTACTCAACTATTCCATAAAAACCAAGCATCCTCACTATGTTGCATCATAAATGTAGTTGTGGATGTGACATTTATCATTACTTGGTTAATATTATCTACCCTATAATAAACATATAACAAAATTTGATATCGTGTCCATAAACACCAAACGTCCTCACTATGTTGCATCATAAATGTACTTGTGGATGTGATATTTATCATTACTTGGTTAATATTATATAATAAACATATAACAAAATTTGATATCGTGGAATTCATGATACAAGTAACACCAAGTAATGATACACGCACGTGCACAAATTATCGTCATAATTATTTGAGTTAGTCAAACATATCATGGAATTTCCAATTTGGTTTTTATGATAATTCTTGTATTGATCTTCTTATTTCAATACTACATGATATAATTATCTTCAAAACACGACTTTAAAATGATTCCAAGAAATAATTTTTCCACAACCAAACAATGTAAACCAATATTTTTCCTTTTCTTTTAACATGGATGGAAAATAATGAATTTTAAATGAATATTTACTTGTTCTTCATTGTGTATTCACCAAAGCTACCATAAAGAACTCATAATGATGGTTATAGAAATCTCCATTCTTATATCCCATAAAAATGGTACAATAACAAGTAACTGTTACCAAATTTTAATATTATATTCATTTCCATTTGAATAAAGTTTGGTTATGTGTAATACCGGTCGGGGAGGTATCATTTACCTCGTCATTATTGTTATTATGAAATTATTATAAATTATTATTATTAAGATTTGATAGACCCCGAGTATAGGTTATGTTTATCCGTAATATGGTGCTATTACGGACTTGTTGGTAAGTTTTGCGAGTAACTCTTACGATTAAAAATTTAGTTGAGACTGTAAGGTTTATAAACCCTAATATTTGTGAAATACTCGTTATGAGATATTTAACTAATGGTTTACGGGTTACACCTATTATGTTAATATTATGAGATTTGATTAGTTTGGTGACAAGAGGTCACTGAGGGTAGCTAGTAATGAGTTATGACAAGTTTTGAGAAACTCATTATTTAATGATTAGGTGCTACAACATGAGCAGCTGATAGGCAGCGAAGAATTGAACTCGAAACTAGAATAAATTTGTTGACTAATCAGGTGAGTAACACTACTCTGACATCCATTGATGTGTTATCTGTGATACACTTTATACGATCTAAAATTATTAATTATTAATGAGTAATGTATTGATATTAGAAAGATTGATTACCAAGAGAGATTGATATCTGACTGAAAGATTGATATTTATAAAGAGATGAATCATATTAAAAGATAGATCATGTCTGGGTAATTGTTGTATTTGATTTGTGATATTTATGATATATGTGATATGTAATGTATGAATTATACAGAGATTTGGATAATTGATTATTTTTAGGAAATTATTTATTATTATGAGTTAAATCATTATCTAGATATACATTATATATGATAGATTAATTATGATTAACAAATAGATCATGATAAATATATTATTCATGAGTAGATTTTGAAAGAGAGTTAGATTATCACGGAGAGGTTGGTTATGATAATACCCTTAATTACATAAATTAATTGTTAACTAAGTGAGAAATAAGTTACAATGTGACTTATATAATATATTTGATTATGTTTTTAGTAGTTGTTATTCACTAAGCCGTGAGGCTTATGTTGTTATGTGATTTGTTTTGAAGGTTTATAATTATGACGTCCGACACGATCCTGTACTTGAGGACAGTATGATCCTTGTGATAACTACTTGTATTTTAGAGTACTAATGTACACCAAAACTATTGTAAACTTCTAAATGACAAGTGAAACTTTTAGGTTGTACTTGGTATGAAATCTTGGGTGTTACGATCGTCGTATAGATCCAAATAAGAATAAGTCTAAATTGTTTTTATAATAGGAAGGCTAAAAGACAAGGGTAAACATTTCAGTCATCATCTATCCATTATTATGGCCACCATTCTTTCTATGAGTTTGTTGTATTTGATCTGTTTGGATCATTCAGTCCATTCATATTATTTTTAGTTATCATCGTTCATGCTGGTAGTCGTTGTGCAATTTTGTTGATGACTTGATGTTGATGTAAGTTCGGAGTTCTAGATTGTAGAATAGTAGGGATGTGTGTTTGTTTATTTATAGTATGCTTATAATGACGTGTATATGTAAGAAATACCAAAAATGGCGAAAATTCTAAAATTTAAATAAAAATAAAAATGTGTACAAATTAAAATCAAATACTTAACATTGTTCAAGCACACTCACTCCTCAAAAAAGATGCAAAAAAATGATTTGGGTCATTAACACGATAGAAAAAATCATAAAATACCATTAAATGATATGCTTTGATAGTATGTTGTTACGTCGTGTTTTAAGAATTAAACTAAGTTAAAGGAAATAATATGAAATTTAGGTTGTCCAATCATAGCAAATAACTCATAAAACAAATGGTGAAGTGTCATGATTTGTACAAAATACAAAGAACGAACACGAAGTAGTTGTGAAATATATGAAAGACCCCCCCCCCCCCCCCCCCCCCCCCTATATCCCACATAGACAAAGTAACCTATTCAACATATTTATATTTCCTACTTATGAGATATAATAGAGATCAAATCACACATACATGATCAAAGTTTTAATACGAAAGTAACTAAATGCTCGACATGTTTATATGATTTAGTTGCAAATCGTCTTACTTCTAAAGTTAGGTGAGTTTGACATAAATTGTGTTAGTAAATAAACATCTTACAAGAAATTTCACAATCAATATCAAAAGTAAGCATTAAAAAAAACAAATCATGCATGCATAATGATGAAGAAAACGAATGTTGGTTTACAAGTGGTAATAACCAAATGGTATGAATCCTTAATTTCTAGATGGTCTTCCTTGGTGATGATTACACGTGGTTTAGTTAAACATCAAAACTGAAAAATTCAGGAGATATAAATAAAACTTTTAATGAACATAATTAAATCTTGGAAGGCTTCGATGACAACTTATGTTGTTGAATCAATGATGACAACTTATGTTGTTGAATCAATGACAACTTACGTGGTTTTGTCGCTAAAAATCTTCGGTAGCGTTTGGTGAGTGAGACTAGATAAAAGTGAACACAACAAATTTTAGTTGGTGTTTGGCAAAAACGAAAAAAAAAACAAGATGGAATAAAGACCAAGTCAAATGTGAGTAAACTTCTAAATGTCCCACCCAAAATGGTAGAACAAGGTTAGAAAAAAAATGTTAAAGAATAAAATATCCTGATTATCGTTCACATTTCCCGTTTAACACCACAAAGGCACAAACATCACCAACCTTCACTTTTGTCATCATACTCTTGAAGAATATCTCTAATTTTGAAAGGAAAAAAAACTCACCCAATGTTACGACAATAATAATAATAATAATAATAATAATAATAATAATAATTAAATTCTATATAACTTAGAGCCCTTTTATTCCTCTTTTACAATGCTCCCGCCACCATTTATAGTGTTTCTCACTCTTTCCTCTCAAACGGCGATACCTTAGCAGCATTTGGCCCATCCCAGAGTGAAACTCCCTGACCAGATTCCGAAACTAAACGAAGAAGAACTCCTAAACGCAGAAAAGACACCTGCGACTGCAGCTACTTACTTGGCTTTCATCCCTCCTTATACTTATTCATGAGGCTTCACTTGGCATAGATGCCAGGACCTTGTTCTGACTTCCGAGATTCATCTATCCTTTTACTGAGAAAATTCCCTACTTGGAGTGAGAATCCCTTTATCCCAAAGCAGCAACAGAAGCGGTTTGATCTCTTACCTTTTGCTCATATCTCAGAGACTCGTCTGCAGTTAGTTTCTCATTCGAATATGAATAATCAACAAGGGCACCTTCTCTCTTTACCTTTACTGGCTTTAATGACACTGCAGGGGACGCAGCAACAGACTCTTTCCCCTCAATCGTTGGAGGCTATTATCCGCTCACTCCCTTGCTTTCAGAGAACTCCCCCAGTTATAGATACATAGTCAAAAGGAGCTTTCTTACTCACAGGATTTCAGGATGCTCGTTAATGCCTCACTCCCTTCTTTTGCTTCTGACATTCTACTTGAAAGTCTGATATCTGATAAACTAGGTTTAGCTTGAATGTCTTAGTTCACATACTCTACGGGATTTCTTCTTTACTAGAACTCTTTTCTCATGATGTGGTTGGGAACGTTGTGTCATCTGTTCATTTCGATTCAAAAAGTTTAACTTTGAACTAACCGAGAAAGCAGAAGCAGAACATACTTATATAATTAAGGTACTTCCTTACTTAGAGTGAGAATACTCTTTATATGACACTTATCCCATCCGAGTACTTACTTGACTTACTTTACTGAAACAGCCTAAGCACCTTTCCCCGGGATTCTTCATAAAACCAGCTTCAGCAGCAAAGACTTCTACTTGATGACAGTCTACCTTTGGTGGTGTAAGATGCTATTCTTTTATACGGTGGTGTGAGATGTAATTAGACTTTATCATATTCATTTAAATTGAGCGTATTGTAAGACTAATATGGCAAGTCAACCGAGCATGGGGAATGAACGAGCGTGGGGGTGAGATGCATGCAATTGAAGCAGCTACCTGAAAAGCTGGGTTTGATTCCCTTAGATACCTTTGGGTTTAGACTTGAGGAAAGACAACATATACCAAGAAAGAAGAGGTCTTCTGAGTAGGATATGTAATACATAAGGACGACCTCACACCAGACGTCCTGCTTTAACTTCCCCAGCCCCAACTGACCCACCATCTCCGTGGACGCTATGTTATCCGAACTCCCAGCATCAATGATCATCTTTGCACTGTCCAATTTGGACATAGATTCGGAATACAGCCTTCCGTCTCCTCCTCCTTTCTGTTGGCATTGGCTCACGTTGCCACACAATCTAACGACAGCGAAACAGTCTCCTCTCCTAAGCTTTAGAACCCCTGCTATGTTTTCGACTTTCACTTACCTTTAGAGCTTCCCGAGCTCTAGGCTCCACAACGTGCACTCTTCCATCTTCAGTTGGTCTATTCTACACTCCCCCAGCAGCATTCGTCCGTTTGAACATTAGGGTAGTAACGAGAAAAATGCTCCACTCCTCCACATTCATAAAGTTTTGAATAAGTATTATATGATATATGATCTACATAGTATTATATGATATATGATATACTTTGGATCATTCAAAAATTATATGATCCAAAGTATTATGATTCAAAATAATTATGATTCAAAATAAACTTTATGTTTATTTAGTTTGTAGGTCATTTAATAAGTATACTATGTTGAGCAAGAAGTTTCATGTCAACAATTTGTATTGTTGAAGCATGACAGAGAAGAAAACTACGTTGTTATATGGACATACAAAATCAAACTTCTAAAAAAAACAAAGCATCATTTGAAAACTGCCAAAATAAGGTGACTACATAAAATAGTTATATACCAGTAATCCAATATTAAATTTTAATAGACATAGTTTCTATATATCTAACAACAATTTTGATAATAATAAAAGAACTTGGAACAAAATGGACTTGTCATATGGAACTATTAGCCAGTTAAGTTTAAAATCCCAAAAATATTGCCAAAATCCGATGAACTGAAAACATATATTTACTTGTTAGTCTTGTACATCAAGTCATAAACACTTGTATTAAATCCAAGTTTATTGGTAAACAATCTGATGGGAATAACATGATTAAGGCATATAAAGCACTTACGATCCCAAATCCTGAAATAACCGAAAGAATTTACAAAACAAAAACCATCCCTAACTCTTGCAATTCCAGTAGCACCTAAAAGACACAAATTAGATCAAGTAAAAGTCTCTTAGTTAACTAACATCAACTGTAAAAAATCAGAAATTACCTCTATGATATTCAGTCAAGAAACTTATCAAACAGTTGGTTGGTAAATGAAAATCCAAGACAAACTGCAGACAGTAAGAAATTGATACAATCAAAGACATTAAGGCATATACGAAACAGATTAATCAGATGAAATTATTTCATCTGGGAAAAAAGAACTCGCCTCCTAATAACTGGTATCATTTCTCCAGCAAAGAGGGGAGAAGGCGTAGTAAAAAATCACAAAGAAGTGAGATTTGCTTCTTTCTCTGTTCATAGAAGTAGCATCATCCCCATTTAATAATTTTACACACACTTGTACACTATAAAACTTGTCCCTCTAACCATCTTGATCAACTGATCTAAAAAAAATAATATACTCACATGTATCATGTGGTTGAATTTTAAAATTAAGATTCTCAAATATGATTGTAGATTTCATACTCCCATCATCTCCCCTGAACGAACACCACCTTTTGTGTTGATACGTAGCTTGGTCAGCTGTCCGAGTTGACCCAATCAATCATAAAGAACTTTTATTGAATAACATCCATCAGGTTCACTATATTGGGATGATTCAACATTTTCAAAATAAAGACTTGTATAACAATTAAATAGAACACCATAAACCCATAAAATAAAGGTTGGTAGATCATAAAATGGAAAACTTCAAAATCGTGCAAATTCAAACAAAATCACAGTCAGACATTTCATCAAACACTTACTATGTACAAGAAGCATTATCCATATCATCTGATATTATTTCAAAGCTTGGTCAGAACCTGCTTCAAATGTAAAAACCAGATCAGGTTCTTCTTCCTTCAGAGCACTAATGGCTCTGTCCACAGATTGCATAAGTTCAGGGATGATTCTTTTGATTCCTTTCATGATGCTTTAACCTAATAAATTAAGAAGTCTTTATAGAAACTTTCATGATGAAGAATTGTTGTTTAATACTCCTGTTATTCAAAGCCCCTTTTGATTCCTTCAAAACCAACCAAGCCTACAAGAAATGAAGAACACGATATTGTTATCCTCTTTTCTTACATCATTACCCTTCGATTAAACCCTCTTTCCATCATTGTCATTTATTTTTATAAAGTAGAGTGAGAGTGAGACCAAAAGTAAGTAACAGTAGAGAAACCAGAAGCATACCTGTGATTTGTAGAGAGAGAAAGAACAAGGAAGAAGGGAAGACGTGATTTGTATCAGACAAGGAGCGACAAAGAGGAGAAAAAAAAATTAGGAGAGATCTTTTATTGATCATTCACCATTAATTTGAAACCTATACAAAGAAAAAAAAATCCAAAATCAATTTCAAGAGTAAAAAATTAGAGCTATAACCCTAAATTTAAAACCCAGGAAACCAAAAACAAAAACAAATGGTTATAGCGTTGTATTGAGTTAATTTCAATTAATAATTTTTGCTACAAATAAGAACTAAAAAGATAGAACCTATTACCTGGAACGGAAACGTCAGCGGTGGCTAAATCAGGGACGTCCACCCACAACGTCAGCTGTTCCGGAGGAACGTAAGCAGGCGGTGTGGAAATCTAAGTGGTCCCTTCTAAAAAAGAAAGAAATAGGAGGAGAACAAAAAGTTTTTATAAAGCAATGTGTTTACTCTCTTAAGGATAGAGATAAAAGAGAAATATGAGGCATCGATCTGGGATGCAAAACGAAGCAGGAGGTGGCGCCAAAGAGAAGGAGCGTGAGAAAAGATAGAGTGACTCAGCTAAAAATGGTTAATTGAGGCGGCAAACAGCTTTAGGGGAAACGCTGGTAGAGAATCAATTAAGCAAACGCGCATTTGAAGTCTTTGCGTCAATGCAAGGATGACAAACAGGCAAGTGATGCAGGCCGCCAAGCACCTAACAGTAGGAATGTAGGATGATGTTGGGCATAACGGAAGAACATAGCATACGTTAAAGCATCTGGCAAGGCTATAAACTAGGAGGTAGCAAGTCTAGGAGGAAAACCCCTCGTCAAGTCTTTTGTTAATGATCAGAAGAGTATGATGGAAGCTATGGGCGACAACAGCCCTCTAATTGGAAGATGATGGTAAGCAAGCAAGCACATTGGTGACACAGGCACCCAAGCTGCTCACAGTTGTATACGTTAAAAATCGCTGACTCCAGTCTTTCTATTCTATTGGGGAGATAAGCAGGGAGAGAAACAGCTCATCGACGTGGACAAAAGCATAAGTCTCTTATATATATATATATATATATATATATATATATATATATATATATATATATAGGGAAGCGTTCAATCGAGAACATTTCTTATCGCGAGAACATTTGAGAACAAATTTGAAAAACACAATTTTTTTTAATTAAAATTGTGATTAGATATAATTGATGGGTTTTGAGCAATACATCAACCCTATGGTGTACATGCAAACCCTAATAGCTTTGGATCTAGTTTTTCTAATGAACATGCAATTGATAATCTAAAGCCATAAACCCTGGATCTAATAAACTATAACTGAAATTAGGGTTTAGATCTTACATTTGATTGTTATATAGCAATAACAATCAATCCTTGGCTTCAGAAAGCTTAGTGCCTCAAGTGTTTCACCTCTAATGGAGTCACAAACACCACTAAGCAACTTGGATGAAGAGGGAGGAGAGATGAGGCACCAAAAACGGCTGGAAACCCTAAAGGAAGTATTCACCCCGTTTTTGGGGCCATAAGGGTTCCTTATATATGCTGGCTATTAGGGTTTACAGCTAGAAAACCCTAATCTGACTGCTTAAGCCCTAAGCAGCCCATGGACTCCCTCTTTAGAAGCCTTGGACGATTTCTAATGGGTTTCCCCATAGAATTCGTCCACTCCAACTTCTATGGAGTCCATTAGCACATCTATGTAATTATCTTATAATTACACAATAAGTCCCTTAAGTTTAATTAATCTCTTTTAGCCACAAAATTAATTCTTAATTAATTCTTGACTAATATTAATTAAACAATATGATTTCTCCTTTAATATATTATTCTCATAATATATTAATAAATCATAATTAAACTTTTCTCTTCTTAATTCATCCTACATATTGCTATGGTGAAGGCAACCCAAAAGGATCATGCTCATAATCGGGTCAAGTACATACCAAAATAGTTATGGACTTAGACACTAATCCAACAATAATCACATGTGATTATATGCATTTAATCACATATGATATATGTAGACAATATTTATCTTTGTGTTCTTGATTCAATAGTTCTTCTTGTGTATATAATCATATGTGATTATATGTATCTAATCACATATGATTTATATAGACATCATTATTTTTTGTCCGTATAAATCATATGTGATTATATAGATATAATCATATATGATTATATATATATATTTAATCACATATGAGTACAGTGGACAAAGAACAATTATTGAATCGAGAATGTGACAATGAATCTCATCCACATAAATCATATATGATTGGATACATATAATCACATGTGATTATATGTATTTAATCAGATATGATTTATGTATACAATTTTTATTTTTGCGGTTTCGACTGAATAATTGCTTTTGTGTAATTAGTCACATGTGATTATATGTATATAATCATATATGATTTGAGGTGGACAAGATGCATTTTTTCCTTCTCGATTCAATAGTTGTGCTCATGTACTTAATCACATACGATTATACATATAATCACATGTGATTATACATAAGGGTTCCTTATATATGTTGGCTATTAGGGTTTACAACTAGGAAACCCTAATCTGACTGCTTAAGCCCTAAGCAGCCCATGGACTCCCTCTTTAGAAGCCTTTGACGATTTCTAATGGGTTTCCCCATAGAATTCATCCACTCCAACTTCTATGGAGTCCATTAGCCCATCTATGTAATTATCTTATAATTACACAATAAGTCCCTTAAGTTTAATTAATCTCTTTTAGCCACAAAATTATTTCTTAATTAATTCTTGACTAATATTAATTAAACAATATGATTTCTCCTTTAATATATTATTCTCATAATATATTAATAAATCATAATTAAACCTTTCTCTTCTTAATTCATCCTACATATTGCTATGGTGAAGGCAACCCAAAAGGACCATGCTCATAATCGGGTCGAGTACATACCAAAATAGTTATGGACTTAGACACTAATCCAATAGTCTCCCACTTGGATAAGTCTAATAACTATTTTGCATAACTTCAGAACCTGATCAGCAATCGTAGCTTTCAAAAGCCGTTGTCAACTCTGATCTTATCAGATACGCGTGTCCTTTAGATAAGGGATCATATATTCCTCCATTCTCAAGATATCGTATAGACACAAGACATGAATTTGATCATTCTCTCTTTACTGTTTCCCGATTTCCGATTTATGACGACTGGCAACAGACTACAATTGAACACATCAACTTAGTCCCGGCTTGGCCAAACGCTTAGGGTGTCATCACAAAATCATCGAGGGGCCCACATATATCGCTTTATCCCACTTTGGGTAAAAGGAATGGATAAACTTCGACTCAAATGCTCGCTTGCTCCTACCGATCGAATTACACACAATAATAAGTTTTATAACACCAAGTTACTGGTGCGTTTACTTACTATCAATGTGCAACCGATCAGCAAATAACAACTCACACGTCTCGATTTCAAGAATATACAATATTATCATCTCACAATCACTCGTGATAAAATCCATGAAGTGATTCTCGTGAGCGTGGGTTTAATCTAATACTCGAATCTTATCAAAGCACTCATGAACTCTACAGCAAACTTGTGCTATGTCTAAACACTTCAGACAATCTACAGACAGATTCATGATAGTCTTCCTTCATACCTATTCCCAACGTATGACCGACTGTGGATGTTTGAATAACCTAGTTATTCTGGAAGTCAAAACATGCAGAGTGAAACGCAATAATAATATTAATCTTATATGGCCCCAAAACTTTTGATGGTAAATAAAACACTTTTATTTAAACACCATATTGATTACTTATTATTCATTGCTTACTGTTTCAGAAAATCAACTTATTACTTGAATTACAACAATAGCTGTCCCATGCTCCGAGCATGCACACTATGTTTCCTATGGTCCATGCTTTGTGAAATAGATCAATTGGAAACTTTTCCAATGATGCTCATTTCACAATTCCTAATCCTCAACGATAGTGTAAGAATACAAGATTCTTGCCACCACTAGAATATGTTAGATTCTAACATTTTATGCAACGATCCTTTCGTAAAGTCATAGCACAAAAGTCACCAAGACTTGGCCAATGAAAATACAAGGTTCTTTATCAGAAATTGTTACAAAACAATTTTATAGATGTGATGTCTCTCACTCAAAGTACATTCCTTTGAACATCCTTTTTGCATAAAATTTTTTAATCTAGACATAAGTTCTTAATTTCCAACTCCCAATATGGAAACATTTCCATATTTGCCATACGACAACTCATTCTTAATAGAATCTTATTTATTCATAATAATGTCGATATGGTCCATCCAACACTATACTTCCAACTACTCACAAGCAACAAATCCTTGGCGAACCTTAGATCGTCCTTTGATAGTTGTTTAATTATTTTAGTCAAAAATCGTTCTAGTCCCTTTTCCCTCTTAATGCGCTAAGCATTTGGAAAATTTTAGAATGATCAAACATTATAGCATATGCAATCGATCCTATACCCGAAGCATATGGGACACGATTCATAATGTCTTACATAAAGACGTGATACTTTACCAGTCTTTTGCTATAATATTTCTAACTGCCATGTTCTCACGATTTTGATTATGAAAAGGGATGTCGTAATCATAACCAAATATTGAGAATGCAATTATTCTTTCCATATATAGAATTTCCTCATGTTGAACCATTCCAACACAACATTCATATATAT